TTCATACCCAATGGAGATGAAAACACAATCTATAGGCGTCTATATTGTATTTATAGATAGGTGAAATATATAAGTCATTTAATTTCACATTTCATTTAACTTATCATTTAAAGTCACCTAAACTGTGTTTTCATTCCCACTGAGGATGAATAACATTACTCATAGGAAAATGATTTTCAAATAATTAATCTAAGTATTGGAGGGAAAACGTGAAAATGGAGAATGAATTAAAATCTGATTCAATTGAATGAATATCTCAGTACATTTACATGATATATAAAGTTCTTTTTAGGTGGGTCGATTTCGGATTGGGATTGATGTAGGGCTCGACTGACGTTGTGGAGGGAAGTGGTGACGTTTCAGGTCGCGTTTTCAGAGTTGGTATGGATCGAAATTTAGGGTAAAACCAAATGAAGTGGCTGATTTACGTTCCAAGTAGGGCGATTTAGGGCTCAGGTTCGGCAATTTAGAGCTGAGTTTCGATTTTGGGGAGATGGGTTTAGGGATTTCGAAATGGCAGTCGACTGGCGTGTTTTTGGGAAAAATGGCATGTTTTGCAGGAAGAAGTCGCGTCTAACGTGGGTGAAATTCACGTCGTCGACTGCCAGGTCGACGGCCGTCAAGCCAAGTCGGACAGTGTGAAACGACGGGGATGGTGGGTGACGGATGGAGGTCTTGGTTCGTAAGTTCAGTGATGGGTGAGAGTCAAAATGTAGTTGAGTTACCACAACGNNNAAAATGTAGTTGAGTTACCACAACGTGAAGAAGTTATAAGTTCAGTGACCAATGAAAGTTTTTACTCGGGTGCTTATAGATTCTGATGATTGAGCCAAAAATTTTCAAAATCTCGTTTTTTCTGGAAACTTATTTTCAAAGTCACTTTCTCAGATGAAATAATTTTACGCACAAATCGGATTTTCTATCTTATTTTTTAATCATGCACCTAAAAAAATTATTATTCTAAAATAGATAAGGGATGTGAGATCTGTGAGCAAAAAGTATAAACAAAAGGGAAAAAATCAAAATTCGGGTGTATGGTTTACACCAACTAGTTTAACAATTCAAAATTCATGTATTAGTTAATTAATTAAAAATATTTATTAATTAGGTCACAATTATACAATTAATAGTCTCATATATATAATTATAGGTCATAACTTATTTACAAATAACATATTCTCAAATTAATTAGTCATAAATTATTTCGAGTTCACAAATAAAAATTGTATAGGTCACAGATTATTTGGAGCACAAATCAAAATTTTTATAGGTCACAGTTTATTTCATTTGTCACAAATAAAAAAAATTACAGATCACAGATTATGAATCGATCACAGATTTTTAAATTGTTGGTCACAATATATATTTCAGTCATAAGTTATCAAATTTTAAGGTCACACTTTAATACTGATCACAAATAACCAAATAATTGGTCACATACACCCAAAATTAGGTCACATACCATCACCAACACCACTTACGATCATCCTCACCCTGCGATCGTTGCCAGCACCACAAGACCATAACTACCGCACCAAATCCACCATCACCATCACAATTTTTAGATCACATGTTACAAATTAACCAATTATTGGTCTCATCCCACCTCACCACCGCCACGACCACCACCATCGCCCGCAGCACCATGAACAAACCCACAACACCTTTCACGGCACCACCACCACCACACCACTGCACCACCGCCGCTTGCCAAAATCCACCCCTCCCAAAACTACTACATGGTCCACTACACCACAGCCATCACCCCTCCAAAACTAATCAAGTCCACCACTGCTATCGCCACCGCCGTCAACACCTCCACCTGCACCACAACCTAAACTACCTTACAATCTGTAACAAAAACATAACCACTACCACCACCTCTCGACAGCGACATCACTGCCATTACTAGAATGAATGCTATGGTTGTGCCCAGTAATTTTACAGAATGAATGTTGTGGTTTGTGCCCAGTAATTTTTCAGCGCCGCTACTACAGCGGCGGTTATGCTCACCCACCAGATCTCGTTGAGGAGAGGGAGAGTGAGAGTGAGAGTGAGAGAAGAGATTTCGCACCCACCGCGCTGCATGGTACAGATCGCCTCGGTGCTGCTTACGTGGTGGCAAGGACTGAAGTGAAATGGGGTACGTCTCCGCCGGCGTGTTCCAACGGCGGCGTAGAATAGGGAAAGGAATAGGGGGACAAGATAGATGGAGAGTGAGTGAGGGTGAGAATAAAATGAAATGGCTAAAAGTTTGGAATTGAATTGGGGGTAGATATTTAATTATTATATTCATACCTGATTTTTGAATTCTAATCTTCAAACACCTGGAATTATGTAATTTTCACTTAACAAAATGGGGGGCCAAGAGCCCGTTTGGGAGTTTCGCCATATTAATTATAAACGATTTTTAAAGTAACGATTTTGAGTGTTTATGAATGGAATGATTTTTGAGTGATTTTAGTAGCGACTTTAAATTTGTCAAACTTATGCAGTTTATTATACATCGATTCCGAAAGTGTTTTAAAAGAATAAAATTACATATATATCCCTTCGTAAAAAATTTTAAGTGAATTTTACGATTATAAGTTAATTTTATACTTTTA